TGTGGTGGTGGTGGTGGTGATGCTGCTGGTTGTGGTTGTGGTTGTGGTTGTCGGCAGCGGCGGGTCTCCCTAGGCTAAAGGCAGACGAGGTCTTTTGGATGGCAATTGCAGCAAGCGAGCGCCGCGACGAGCGAGAAGGATGAGCAAAGAAGGCCTTGCCGGCGGAGGAGGAAGAGGAAGAAGAAGAAGAAGAAGAAGAGGTAGAGGCTGACGGGTTCGAGGTCGAGGTCGAGGTTGAGCCCGCAGACGGGGATGAAGAAGCCTTGCTGCCGGCGACCTGGGGGTTGCTGGAGTTGATATTGCTGGTATTATGATGATGATGATGCTTACTGCTGCTGCTACTGCTGAGACTGCTGCTGCTGGCGATGTGGTCTTCGAGCGGGATGTAGGGCCGGTGCTTGAGATGCTGGTGGAGGGAGTTTGATCTGTCAAGCGCAGGCCTGCTCATTGAAAGAGATGTTACAGAGACTATACGGCGGAAGTAGAAGTAGAGGAAGAAGCAAGGGGCCGGGGAGAGCAGGGCATGAAGGGATTATCAAAAGAGAGAAGAAGCGAGAGAAGGAGAGGAAGAGGAAGAGGAAGAAGCGGAGATTGATGTTTAAGGAAGAAGAAGGGAAGAAGAAGAAAAAGGCGAAACAACGTGGTGGAAACTCTCTTCTTTTTCTTCCTGCGTCCCTTGAGCGCTACGACTTCTCATCCAGCAAGGGCCTTAACCCTCAAACTTCGACCTCTTTTTTTTCTTTTTTCTTTTGCTCTTAAACTAAAAGTCAAGCTAACTAAGTAAGCTCTTAGTCTTCAATCGTCAACATCAACGACTTTTCTCTTCTTCTTCTTCTTCCGCTTCTTCAGCGACAGAGAAGAAAAAAAAGGGGGGGGAAAAGCAAAAAAACCAAGAGGTAAGATTACGTGACGATACGAGGACAGGCAGCCCAGCGCGTGGGCGCCACGACACGACAGGGATGGCCCAGCCTAGCCTAAGCCTAAGAAAGGACTAGGGCGAAGTGCTAGGGGGAAGGACCGAAGTAAGGAAAAAACGTGGCTGTAAGGGCGTGACAGTACATGACATGACATTACGTGACCGTACCATGCACTCCCCTCTTGCTTTTTACTCTCTTGCATGCACCTGCCCCGGCGCAGCGGAGCTTCTCTTCTTCTCTTCTTACTCTTACTCTTCTTCTCTCTCTACTTACTCTCTCTGCTTACCTACTACTGATTCTGTCTTCTTCTTTGGCTCCTCCGTCTAGTCTCTTCCTCTGCTCTTCTGAGCTGCCTGAAACTCGCTCTGAAACACGACCCGCCCGCAGCCCTCGACCGCCGAACCGCCCAGGGGGGCCTTGTCCCATCTCCATCCCCCATGCCGACGCCCATGCCCGTCCCTTGTCCATCGCCATGCCTTTCTCCTGCCATGCCCATGCTACGGTGTGATCGGTGCCTGTCAGAACGTGGCTTCAACCTCGACTTTACTCTTCCTTCTGCTACTTCTACTTATACTTCTACTACTTCTTGTTTACTTTCTTCTTCTTCTTCTTCGTCTTCTTCTTCGCTGCTTCGGCCGCCTCCGCGCTCCGCCTGCTTAGTCAGAAAAGCGGAGACGGCCCTCTTTCTCCGCCGCAAGCACGTGGTCTCACCGTCTCAGGCTTAGGTAAGCCGGCCACGTGGCGCCAGGAGCTAAGCTGCATGCAGTTAGTATGCTCGATGTCGATGGAAGACTTCGATAGTCGTCGATGAAAAGTCGATAAAGATAGAGACGATGGATGAAGGATGATATAGCCTGGAGACAGACATATATACACTTATAAATATGGGAGAGATAAAGAAGTTAGCGAGTACGGGGTAGAGAGAGTCGCGTGGTCTTTTTTATCGCTCTTTTCTCTCTTTTCTCTCTCGTCAACAAACAAAGAAAAAGAAGAAGATTTCGGGACCCTCTTTTCGCCTCTTCTATTTATATCCTCTCGCCATCACATCAACAACAATAAGGTAAGTCGATTGCTCTCCACGCCTCAATGCCATGTGTTTACCTTGCTTGCTTTTCCTCCTTCTTCGTCCCATCCTTCTCCCGCCTTGACTCGGCTTGCCCGACCAGACGGACGCAAAAAAGCAAGGTTAAGGGGTTAGATGTGAGTGAGTGAGTAATAATAATAATAATGATAATAATAATAAAAAAAAAGATGAAACACCCTTCAATCTCTGCTCTACCCCCTTGCTTGACACTAATTGGAGCCCATCTTTTTTTTTTTTCTTTCTTACTTACTTCTTCTCACTTCCACGTGGCGAGGGAGGGCGGGAAGGGGAGCTCGTCGTTTCGGAAGGTTAATGACACTTTTTTTAAGATGAGAAGGGCATTCGATACGGATGCATGCATGCGGTATTCTATTAGCCTTATTCAAATTCTAGACAGCGCGACGGCTGTTATAGTATAGCTCTAAACTAACGTTAGATGTCGGCGTCTTCGGAGGTAAGGAAGCGGATGGTCCGGACATAAGGCCGTATACAACACATATGCACATACCATAAACGGTAAAAAGAGAGACCAGACGGGCGGTGGAAGGAGATCTGTCCGTCCGCAGGTCGCCGACCAGAAGGGGCCCTCGAGGAAGTCTGTCTCACCGCTAGCCCTTCCGTCTCTTCAATTCACTCTACTCCTACTGCGCTACTGCTAGTCTCGCAGGCGAGTCCTCGTCGGATTCTGTTCGGAACTGGGTCGGCGCGTGGTCCTGCATATAAAACCACACTTTAAGCAGTTCAAATACCGCACTTACTAGCTTTGTTTACTCTCCGTACTGATCCGTACGTACGTACTGACATACATACTTACATACCGCTGAGCTCCAGTAATAATAAAAATAATAATAATAATAATAATAATAATACTAACACTGGTTAATATCAGACTTAGTCTCGTCTCGGCAGCCCCCGTCTCAGCAGTCTAAGTATATGGCCCATATATCATCGAATCAATATGAAGTAACCGGTGTCACTGGCGTCACTGGCGTCAGAGGCTAACCAACGGCCCTTCCCAACGCATGCATGCTCGACCACATGGTACCCTGGCCTCCTTGCGTCTCCCTTGCTTTCTCTCCCTCCTGCGTCTTGGGGCCCCCTCCCCCTTCTTGGTATTCTTCAGGCGTCTCCATGGGTTGGTAATCAATTCAATTCTTCACCCTCCCAAGACTTTGCGGCGCCTTGGCTGCGCTGCTCGGTCATCATCATCTAATCCTTCCAAGACCGCAAAGAAGAAAACATCACGCCAGGACGCAGGACTTCACTGGACGCCCGGCGAACGGCGACGACGATCAGCCACGAGGAGTGGCTCAAGGTCGCTCTCTGATCGCTGTTGTCCGTCTTCTTCGTCATTCCTTTACTGTCGAGTCGGTCTTTTGTCGGTGAGAGCCAGGTTTGTGGCATGACTGCTGCATGGCTGGCTTGTCTCGTCGACTGTTTGGCAGGCATCACCCTCACATTGCATCGCATCGCATCGCATCGCATCCGGCGGCTGTTTTTTGTCTGGCCTGGCTGTTCTAGATGTTTTACACCCTTGATCGCAAAAACATTTTTATTTCCCCTTCTATCGGACGAATAAATAAGTTTGCATGCCTGTAAATAAATAAAACTTTGAATAATTCTTACTTATACTTACATACATAACCAGACGAAAGGGTCCCCTGCCCTGTCTGCCCTCCTCATTCTCCAGACTGAACATCATTCGATGCATCTACCGAGCCCCCTCCCCTTCCTCCAAGATGCGTTATGCGTCGATCATCGTCAGTGAGTCAGGCCAAGCAAGCAGACTTTTTTTTTTTTTTGTTTTTGCCTTTCTTCTTCCATGCTGTTCAACCACGCGGTGATGTGATGCTCACTCCCATGTTGTACCGTGACATATGAACATCCATTGGAACAGTTCTCTCCTGCTGTGCGATGGTGACGGTGACGGTGACGGCCAGTCTACATGCACACCCCCATACCCATACACATAACACATACGAAGTACTCCGTACATCTAGGCACATACCTGCTTAGGCGGTACGGAGTACTTGAGGTGCCATTCTTTTCTCAATGTCATGCCGGCCAGGATGGAGATTTCGTCACCTCTCGTCTGAAATCCCAATTTTCAGCCAGACATGGGGCTTCCAAATTGGTCAACTAGTTGGCCAGTCGCTCGTCATTCAGTCAGTCTGTTCGTTGGTGGTGGCTTGAACCTGATCGACTCTCTTCGAACGAACACCCATTTCATCATCGTCACTGCCAGTGAAGAATAGGGTGATCGCAAGCCAAAAAGTAAAAAAGGGCTGTGTATCGAAGCCACGCGTCAGGTAAAGAAAGCAAGTAAAGAGAAGAGAGAAAGATATAAAACAATAAGGTGGTGGCTTCAGCGTCGAGCAACATTGACAGTTAAATTACTATTGTTGAATTTTTTTTTTTTTTTTAATAGTTATGCGACTACTCGAGTGTTGCTGCTCCTCGTTCGCCGAGGGTGATACAGGTCACCCAGAGCTGAATGTTTATCATTCTTTCCTTTTTTGCCTTTTTCATCTTTTCTCGCCTGGGGAAAGGGACACGTTCCATTGAGTTTTTGTCTTCCTTTCTTCTTCTAAAAAGTGGCCATCAATCGCGGCTGGGGCTGGGGCGAGAGAGCGAACTGATCGACCGCCCGCAAAATTATGATCATTCCCCAATTAAACCACATCGATATTGCGTTCCTACCTGCCTCCAAAGCGTGGAACGATCTTTTTTTTTCTCTTGGGACGAAATAGTAAAAGAAAAATAAAAGGGAGGGGGGGCAAACATTGGCTGCAAAGAGCCAGACATCATCAATTGGTGGGACGGAACTTGGCTGCCAAAGGGAGTCTGCCTGTATATCTGTCTGCCTGTAAGCATATTCATACTGTACATACGGCAGGGGTAGGCGCAGGTGGTACAGTTATTTACGTTCGGTGCAATGCCCGGAACGCTGTGTTTGGGTACTCGCGGGTAATATATCGAGGTTCCAGAAGTTACCAAACGGTGCAGAAACTGTTGGACCGAAAGAAAAAGAATCTGGCCAGCCCCCTTCGCTCACCCGTCTCTCCACCACCTGCCCAGTGCCCCGGCCCCGGTAGAGCCTAGAGCTGCGACAGCCTCTTCAAACGATACCTCGACCCGGAACATTTTGCCGTCTCCCATCCCATAGCCATTGACAGGCAGCACCAGGCCCCATTCAACGAGCTTCTCCCACGCTTCTTTGGCAGCCTCTTTACCCCATACCCGCCCCGGCGTTGCCGCTGCGCCAGAGGCTGATGCCGACGCCTTGGCTGCGGTGAGCAGGCGCACGTACTCACTGTAAACGGCCGCAAAGGATAAGCTAAGTGAAGCTGCCGTTGCCGTGGCCGTTGCCATCGATTCATGCAGCGCCGTTAGCCGGGTTGCCGTAAGTAGTAGCGACAAGGGTAGGGAGACGTTGCTTGTTGAACCCGAGAGCTGGGTGAAGGGAAGCGGTGCTGGGTCTGGACAGGCCAGCGAGTTTGATGCAAAGGACTGCGTGCTGGGGAGCTCCGCTTTGGTGCCTGTCACGGAGCCTAGTGCCATTGACGTTATCGGGACCAGCGCGCTCCGGAAGAAGTCCCGCACACTCTTGCTCCGGTAGTATATCGGCTCGAGATGACCTGCAAACTCGGCATCTTCAAAGAGGTCCTACCAAGCAAGTTATTATTTTAATATAATACATATACATAGATATATATATACTATGCTTTGTTTATTAGATTGGGACAATGCGTCGACGTACCTGGATATAACTGTTCCACCCCTTGAGGAGAATTGGCCCCTTCTCGCCGTCCAGCGGACAAGAATCCACCTCATCACCTTCAACCTTCAACGAAGCCATGCATATATCCACAAACTCAACAAAGCTCCTGGGCCGAGGGAGAAACACATGTCGATGGCTGAACCTGCTCTTCAC